GTGCGCAGACCCAGCTGCTGGGCCAAGGAGGGATCTCGCAGGGAGGCTGAGGCTTCTAGCTGAGTCCCGTGTCCTAAGGTCAGGGAACAGGGCCAGGGGCCTGGGGTTCTGGGGAAGGAAGGCTTCCCTGTCTCCTGTCGGTGAGTGGAACCTTGGCCCTCACCCAGGCCACTTCCTGCCCCTCTGCTGCCCTGCCATAGTGGGTAGGGGGTAGTGCCAGGATGAGGACTGCAGGAAAGCACCCTTCCAGGCCTGGGGGTGGGGAGGGCAGCCCTGAAAGGGTCAGTGAAAGGGTCCTCTGGGGTTTGACCCCACTTTTTCCACATCTCTAAGGCTGTGGTGGACAGTGGACAGCCTCTGAAGTGTCCCTGGGGCCTGGAGGGGGTAGTGCAGGATGGGAAGGGGGAAGGGGGCTCTCAGGAAGCCCCAGGTGACTTCCTGTCCAGTCACACCCACCATCAGCCAGCCATGTGTGCTGAGGGGCTGGCCAAAGCCCAGGCTCCTGGCCTGGAGCTGGCTGCGGGTGGAGGTCAGAAGAGAAGTGGGAGAAGGAGGAGACTCGGGCTGGCTGCTGAGAGGCTGGCTCACCCTCCACCCAGATGAGAAGAACTGTTCTGACTGTATATGTGTCAAGTCCGAATTCCACTGCGGGGACCCTGGATGCCAGACCTGTACCCACCACCCCTGCCCTCCAGGCCAGGAAGCAGTGCCTGAAGGTGAGTCCCTGGGAGGCCACTGCTGGCCGTGTGAGGCAGACCCAGAGCTCCAGGGAGTGTGGCGGGCAGGGTGCTGTCTGCTGGGGTGTGGGTGCATCCTCTGAGCACGTGGACCAGGATATCTTCCGCCTCCTGACTCTGCAGCTTTAGGGGAGCTCCTGCCCTCATATCCTGGGCCTGTGCTGCTCACACCCTCAGGGCTGGCTCTGAGGGCCCGTGGGGGTGTCCAGGAGCTGTCTGGATTCCAGCCCCTCACTCTTAACTGTGACTCAGGGCCTGCTAGCTGCCCTGTCCATCTGCACCAGCTCTGTGACTGGTACCCACGGGCACTGATTGTGCAGGACTCCGGTCCTCTGGGCATCAGAGACCTCTGGCAAATGGAAAACATGGGGTCAAACTCAGGGGACCCTGTCGCTGGCCTGTGTCCTCACCTACCCCAGTGCTTCTTGCAGTCTGTCAACTGTCTGTTCCTAGGGAATTTCAAGTTTGGCTTCAGATGTGTGGACTGCGCTGTGGGGACCTTCTCCAGTGGCCACGAGGGCCGCTGCAGACCTTGGACAGAGTGAGTGCTGAGTGAGGCCTTGGCCATGTAGCTCCAAGGGATCCTGACCTGTCCCTCCCAGCATGGCCACCCCTGAGGGCCCTGTGATCCCCTAAATAGCCCAGAGCACCAAGGGTGACCATGTGTGTGTCTGTGTCCCAGCTGCGACCAGTTTGGTTTTCTCACCATGTTCCATGGGAACAAAACTCACAATGCTGTATGCATCCTGGGGTCTCTGCCCGCTGAGCCACCTGGCCAGCTGACCATCCTCCTCTTGGCCCTGGCCACCTGCATCCTCGTCCTGACCACAGCCCAGCTCAGCCTGCACATCTGGCAGCTGAGGAGGAAGCACAGGTGGCCTCAAGGTCAGTTGGGGTCCCAGGGGAGGAGAGGGTGGAGGGCTCAGGCTGCCGCTGACCACGACCCCCCTACAGAGACCCCGCCACTTCCAGAGGTGCTCCCCCCACCTGCGGAGGATGCCTGCAGCTGCCAGTTCCCTGAGGAGGAGCGGGGGGAGCGGCTGGAGAAGGACGAGCTGGGGCGTCCTTGGGTGTGAGGCTGACCATCCTCAGGAGAAGCTGCACCCCAAGCCAGACCCTCCCCAGGAGCTGGCCCAGGCTGACCCTTGGGAGCCAGGGCTCTGCTTTCCATCTGTTCTGGGCCCGGCCCTGCTCCCCTCAACGGTGGAAGTGGGTACAGGATGGTGACAGTGACAAGTTCCCTCGACTGTGCAGAAGGGTGGTGGCCATGGCTGGCCCTGTGGGAGAGATGGGCAGCCGTGACTGCCTTCCTCCCTGGCCAGCCCTGCTGGGGTGGGGTCTGTGTTCCCCCCACGGGTGTGCAGTGTCCAGCAGGGGACCTGGCTGCAGGTGGTTTTCAATAAACACTTGTTCAGTGACCTGAGTGGATGTGTAATGGGGGATGGACAGGAGGACAGGGAGCCCAGGGCTGGGGTCCGGGGCACTTTGTCCACCCACACCCATGGTCCCTTTCCCAGGCCTCAAAGGCCCAGGAGCTCCCAGCTGGGGTGGGGAGCCCAGTTCAGGACTCTTCCAGTCCTGGCACAGGCCGGGCCACAGGGCTCAGGGCGCTTCCTGGGGGAGAGGCGCCGCACTGGGCCTGCCTTCTTGGTGCTCAGCCAGACCACCTCTCCGTGCTTTTCTGGCCCACACTGAGCTGCCACGTGCTGGACCTGTGGTCTCTGGGCCACCACCCCTCTGAAAGCCAGTGGAGACTGTTTGTGCACTGCCCACCACCTGACTTGCCTCACTGTGCCCCGTGCCCAGGGACTCAGACTTGGTCACTTTCCACCCGGCACTTCTGATGTGAAGCAGCCTCCAGGTGCCTTGCCTTGGCGCTGGGCCTTCTCCTGTCCTGGGATCCCTCTCTCTAGGGCATGGCACTTGGTCCCACCCTGCAGAGCATGTTCACAGCCTCCTGGCAGCCCCAGCTGCAGCTGCTCCTGGAGATATCTGATAGGGATGTCTTGGCAAGGCGGTCCAGGGAGTGGCAGACCAGTGGGGACCAGTCTTAGCAGCACCTTGGGGCATGTGCATACCTGGCCACTGCCCTCAGCCCCCCACGCGTTCCCCATCTCCATCTGCCCTCAACCCCCTCAGCTCCCAGTGGCAGTGGGCCGTGGGCCCAGCCCACAGCAGATAAGTGACCTGCAGTCTGGCGTGTCAGCACCCCAGCACACAGGCTCCTGGGAAAGACTCAAGGCCAAAGCCTAGACTGGTGGGAGTGGATGACAGCAGGACCCAGAACGTGAAAAACCCAGGGACAGCTGGGGACGTGCTGGAGAGTGGACAGTGGTCATCTACCTCTGGTCACCCATTTATTAAGACACCGCATCAGCATTTCCCAGCGCCTTCTCTGTGCTCTGGGAGCTGCCAGGAGCCTGCCCTCACCCAGGGTGGGGGAGGGAGGCAGATCAGGCAACTCTTGGGCCAACCAGGCCTGGCACAGCTGGAAGGGGCACTGGGGGCCTCTCTGGGCTCACTGCGCCCCTGCAGGTCCGTGGACCCCACCCTGGCTCCCCTCAGGACACCTCTGGGGGTGTCCCCAGAAAGCACCGAGGTCCGCCAAGGTTACACAGGGCTGACTCAGCTGGAAACCCGTGGGGGTGGCCCCGTGGGGGCGACTGGGCCAAACGTCAGTACGTCAGTACGGGGGTGGGGGCGGAAGGCTGTCTGTGCAGAGCAGGTGGGGGATTCCGCTGCTGGCCCAGCCCCCGCCAGGCTCTCCCCACTCAGCCCCTGCCTGGCCCGGGTCCACCTGCCTGAGATCCAGGTGTGGGGGCAGAGCCCAGGGCTGCCTGGAGGCGCCTGGAGACCCAGAGGGGCTGGGGTGGAGAGCAGGTGAGCCTTGCTGGCTGGGGACAGGCTTGCCCCCCACCCCAGAGGTGGCCCAGGCCAACCCCTCCCACAGGAGGCTCTCCAGCTCTTCCGGAAAACCGCAGCTCCCCTGGCCTCAACTCTCCCGCCGCCCCACAGTGGGTAGGTTTTGTTCAGCCTCAGATAAGGCCCCAGAGGCCATGTCTGTTCCCAGAAGTGCTTCCGGCCACAGTTGGTGCCTGCCAGCCCAGCTCCACCCACTCACCTTCCTCAAAGACACCTCCCTTCCCTGAGATCTGGCTCAGGCAGGGTAGGACTCAAACTGAGGGAGAGATCCCTTCCAGTTGGGGGGAGTTAAGGTGAGGATGGGGAGAAGACTTTTTTGCTAGACAGAAGTGGCCCCCAGCCCAGGTCTCAGAACAACTGGAGGGGCCTTAGAGGGCCGGTGGGGCCTGGCAGCCCCAGAGGCTGGGATGTGCCCCACGAGATCAGATGGGCACTGCCCCTGGACTGGGCCATCTTCCTGTCCCAGCCTCCCGACCAGAGGACGGCTCACTCGAGGGCTGCCCCTCAGCCAGCAGCTCACCCCCTTTTTGGTCAGGAAGGCAGACCTTCACCCATCACCTCATTTTTCCAGGAAGCTCCAAGATTCGGGGTGCTTTCCAGAAACGGTGATTCAGCTCCAGGGCTGCTCTGGCCTCTGCCCCCATCCCAGCAGATATCTCCAAGGGGAAAGGGGCTGAGGGTGGGTGAGCAGACAGCCCCAGTAGACCTTAGTCTGGCTGACACCAGGTGCCCAGGAGCCCTGGCTGAGGCAGGCCCCAGGGTGTGAGGGTCTGTCCTGGTCGGCCCCCGTGGGCTGCAGGGATGGGAGCCGGGTCAGGCCTGGGGGCCACTTGACTCCCTATACTTTCTGCTGGTAGAGGACACTTCTTGAATTCCCTGCCCACCAGCAGAACCCCAGAATTTAGCCCTGGAAGAGAGAGGGAGGGAAAAGGAGTGGGCAGAGGAGAGAGGGAGGGGATGAGGGAGAAAGAGGGAGTGTGATAGGGAGGGTCACCTCTCCAGCAGCAGGTCTGTGAGGTCCCTGGACCCTGCTGGTTCTGCCTGAATTGAAGACCTCACACCTGCCAGACACCCAGGGCTCAGTGCTCCGCAGCCCACCTCTCCCTGTCATTCCTGTGGAAGGAATGAGCAGCAGGGAATCTCAGGAAACATCCTTTATTGACATCTGGGCTCTGGGGGATGCCAGATACAGTCCTGGCCTCTGGGGCGCTCCATCAGGAACAGGGCCAAGCACTGCCATGGGCCCTTCTCAGGTCTCGTGCAGGCTCATGTCCCCAAGGCAGCAGGGGAGCACCTCCCAAGGACTCTGTCACCTCTGCTGACAGCTTGAGGCCCCTGAACCTGAGGTCAATAGCCCCACTGTGGCAGGTGAGGAGTGCTGCAGTGTTCTGTGACAGTGGTGAGGCACCATGGAACAGAATCCCAACTTGGGCTGGGCGCCAGAGTGGGCAAGAGGCCTTTCAGGCACCAAGGCTCAGGGGTTTCAGTGACCAGAGCAGAGGGAGAGCAAGAGGTGACCCTAAGGTGACATGGCTGCAGTAGCCAGGAGCTATGGCCATGTGGCCTCAAAGGGTCTTGGCCCCTCCCTGGCCTTGGTGGACTCCAGAGTTGGGCCCTTCCCACAGGAGCACTTGTGTGCTCTCGCCGAGCAGGCGGGACTCCAGGCTGTGGGCCACAGCAGCAGGGTGACTAGACTTGGGTTAGGGTTGGATAGAGCACCCAGGACAGGGCAGGCAGTGTGTATGGGAGCTGTGGCATGGGCTAACCACAGGTGTACCCCCAGGGTCTCCACGACCAGGGGCTCTATGATGGGGGGGGGGTGTTTCACTTTACCTCTTTGAGCCCCTGTCCCTGTCTGTTCCTGGCTGCCTACTGCACCAGTCCCTAGGTATGCTGGCCAGAAACAGTGGCAGACAGCGCCCTCTAGTGGTGACATGGAATTGCATCCCTGGATGGCAACAGCCCTGCCTGCAAGGGGAGCCAGCACCCCAAGACAGGTTCTCTGGCCCCCTCAGATGCTTCCATCACTCCAATGCAGACAGAGAGAAAGCAGCCACTCTGCATTTGGGGTGGAGCTGGCTCCACTGTTGGACAAGGGAAGGTCAGCAGTGGGGCAGCTCAGGAGGATTTGGTGCCAGGCCATGACCACGTGGAGTTGGGGTAGCACCAGCAGAAGTGTGTGCCAGCTGGGGGCCTGCAGGACCCCTGGAGAGGGGAGCCTGCGACGCAGGTAAGGTAATGCCTTGGCCACTGGGTGGAGGGCCTAGACACCTCAGGGCCCAGAGTGCTGGAGTTCTCTCCTCAAATCCCAGGCCCACAGAGAGTAGTGTGGGAGGCCTCAGGATTGCTGGGGCCTGGCCAGTGCTGACCCCACATTCTTCGGGGACCACTACCAAAAGCCCTGGGCCCTCCTCCTCCAAGGAATGGGCCTCTGTGGGGAAGGGGGGCTGTGGGGCTATGGAGAGTGCCCTTGCCTGGTGTCCAAGGCCCAGATAAAAGCCGTGCTGGGCAGGGTCGGGGCGAGCCATGGGCAGCCCCAGAAGAGCAATCCAGAGGGGTTCCGAAGAGTCCACGGGGATCCAGACCTTTCCTGGAGAAACCTCACTGTGGCGGATCCCAGTGCCAGGCTGGAGTTGGGGGTCATGAGGGCTGCAGGCCGGTCCTGGGGGATGAGGAGCACTGCGCCCTGGGCAGGAGATCAGGAGCCGGTGGGCTGCGCCATGAGGGAGGACAGGCCGGCACTGCGGGGCGGGCACACCTCCTTCCCGCAGCCCCCACCTCGCCCTCAGGACGGCGGTGGGCAG